GCGGTTAAAGATATAAGTGCTGCAATGATTCTCTATTGAAAGATGAAGTAGAAAACCCAACCAGAACTCAGAGAATCACTGCCACCTTATACACATCTCTCCACAAATATGGATTTAAGTGGCTTTTTGCTAAATTGCAACCTGCAGGTGAATGGCTGGAGAAGCCATTACCATCAGGTTCAGCCTTGCGAGCGACTGAAAAGCTTCTTATGATTCCCAGGCAGAGTCCCAGGGATATCTGCTAGAGATGTGGTGGCCTCTTTACAGCACTTCACAATGAGATAGCTACTCTGCGTTGCTTATGATCTAACATAGAACAACACATCATAATTTTCACAATTACGTGGCAAGAGAACGATTGTACCCTGTGTTTTTCATCTGTGAGTCACCTCACTTAGTTACACGTGGTAAAGCAATGGAGCTTTGTCTTTACCAGTCATATAGTTAAGCACAGTTTGTTTTGGCTCTAGGGGTAGAACTCAATACTGAAGCATCCAATCCCACTCACAACAACGAAGGAAACAACTGATTTGAAAACAAATCTACTTGGAGATAAACATCACCAATGATGTAAATTATGAGGATTCTATTAACTTTGACAGTAAATAGCACAGGCTGTAAATACACCAATTTTATGAAAAAAATTAAGTGTTATTAAATTTTTAAGTATTCTCAATGGATTTTCAATCTGTATATATTGTAATTTCCATGCAAAAGATGAACAATGACCAGAAAAGCTGTCTAGCCTTTTCTTTTCCAAATCAAGTAACAAACTGACCCAGCAGTCCTCATTCTTCTTGAGTTCAACACATAGGTACCAACTGGAAATCTCCCACCCATTGAACCGTTCATCCAACTTGTTACAACAGATCAATGTATTTTTGATAGGAAATATTTTTAATGTTCTATTTTTACACATTTTTCCTGCTTTCTAGGGTTTTTTGAACATTGTTTGAATAAATAACATTGTTTGAAGATCAAACAATGAGATACAGCTCATTTAAAGTACACATTTATACAACACAGTTGTCAAGCATGATGACTTTACCATTGGAAACAGATTTTTCAAATCGGTATAATTCAAGAGGGCTAAAGTGATATAAATAATGCCCCAAATGGGAACAAAATGTTAATTCAGGTCAAATAACTGCTTTATCTTCATCTGAAGTTACTACTTTCTTCTTCTTTGATTTAAATAAAATCAACAAAATATTAATCTTTTTAGAAGTTGGTCAGTTACCTGTTATTCTATGCAGCAAAGAACAGAAAAGTGCAGCTTAACTAACCAAGATAAAAACAAAGGATTTCGTCTTTGCCAGATTGAAAAAAAATGAAAACAAGAAAGTAACATGCTGTTTAGAGTGTTACTAGATAAAGTATTTAAATTTTTGGTAATGAAAACACTGTACTGGGTGTCTGTGGCAAGGTTTTGGAAGTGAAGGGGCTGCAGAGGTGGCTTATGTGAGGCAATGGAACAAGGGAATAACAAAGTCAGTGGAGGAGAAGGTGCTCCAGGACTGAGCCAGTACATCCCCAGGGGGACTGTGGCCCATGAAGGACCCATGCTGGAGCACAGGAGAAGAGTGAGAAGGAAGGAGTGGCAGAGGGAAGTTGCTGCGCCCTGACCCGATCCCCTGCATTGCCTGTTTCCTTGCTGAAGGGACTGAGTGTGACCTGCCGAGGTACCAAGGGGGAGGGGAGGAGCCTGGAGTAATGTTCAGCCTGGGAAAGTGGGAGGAAAGGTGTTTTAGTGCTTGCCCTGTTTCCCAATACCTGATCAGTAATTAAATATTTACGCTAATTGGCAATAAATTAAGTTAAATTTCCCAAGTTGAGCCTGTGTTGCCTGTAACAGTAATTGGTGTTTTCCCTTTCTTTAGTTTGACTCATGAGCCTTCTCACTCCTGTTCCTCTTATTTCTTCCCAGTCTCTCCATCCCACTTGGAAGTGGGGGGTGACGAGCAGCTGGGTGGGTGCTTGGCTGCCAGCTGGGGCCAAGCCAACACAAACATCAACAGTAGGAACAACTTCTTATCGTAGCTCCTAAGAAAAAAATACAGCAAAACCCTCCAAGCTCCCCATGCTGTCTGAGTTTACACCCAGTCAGGTCATATTACATTCAAAATTGCTACAATCATAAAAAAATCCTATTCTTTACTGGTCACATATAAGTGATATAAAGATACCACACTTCCTTCATAAAGCACCATAGCAGACACTTTCCCTTGAGAAAGTCCAATGAATCTTTTTAGATATCGAAGTGTAAGCATGCAAACTTCAACATGAAGCTACTGCTGACGAACTGACCACAACCCCCATTCCCTGTCCCCCTGCATTGCCGGTGGGGAGGAGTTGAAGAAATCATGAGTGAAGCTGAGGAAGAAGGGACGGGTGGAGGGAAGGTGTTTGTAAAATTTGGGGTTTTTTTCTCTTTATACTACTCTGATTTGACTGGTAACAAATTAAATTGATTCTTTTTTTTCCCCAAGCCAACTCTGGTTTGCCCATGACCATAACTGGTGAGTGATCCCTCCCTGTCCTTGTCTTGAGCCAGGAGCCTTTTGTTATATTTTCTCCTCCCCATCCCACTGGAGGAAACGAGTGAGTGAGCGGCTACATGATGCTTAGTTGGCTGGGCCTAAACCACAACAGCTGGTCAACCTAATAATTTCTCTCACATCCCAGATGACAAACTGATCAAGCAACTGTCCAAATGGTACATGAAACTTAATGAAGTATATACATCATACCTAGTTCTCATATAACATGGTTCATTTTTCAGTCTTGCTGAAGGTTATAGAGCACACCAATATCTCTATTTTTGTAACTTGGCAAAGAGAAGAATAGACAGTAGGGTGGACTCAACCTAAAGCTAATATGCAAAACCGTGCCAGACCTGGGAAAGGGAGCCTGGACTCAAGTTCCAGTCCAGAGCTCCACATGGTTCTGCTGCAGCTATTGTATTAAAAATACTAGACTAATATACATTTAAATAAAAAGATCTTTGTGCCTTCCATTCAAATAATTCAGAATTTCCTCCAGACAAAAGAAATACAGCATTTATGCATTCCAAAAGGAAGATGCTTTAAAAAAATTTGTGATTCAGCACAGAGCATTTGTCACAAGCAGCTACACCCTACGCCAAAAGTAAGTACGAAAATTGGTTCTCTCTAAGACTGGCTTTCTGTTCTGCTGCAGGAATGTAACTTCCAAACCTGTAGTCAATCTGAAATACTCCTAAGAGAAGAGCCATTTGCTCAGTAGAAATCAGTTTCTATAAGCATCCCAGCTACAGCTCACCCATAATCCAGACACAGCTAGAGCTCAGCTTTAAAGATTTTTTCCTCCTTTTTACTTTTTAGATATTTTGGATATTCAAAACACTTGAGAATTTCTTCCTCAGAGTGGTTGGCTTTTCGCAAAATCACATATGATTAATCTCTTGTGATTTCAAGGTTGTCATTTCCTCTCATGATATTGGATAGTTCCAGAGGCCAGAACAGAATCCTACAAACTATATGCCCTCCATGGCTGCAATAACTTTAATCAGGGATTTGAATTCATAACCTTTTTTTTTAATCCCCCAACTAGGAAAATTATAGGATTAAAGTTTCATCAAAAATGTATTGTTGTTTCAAAATGCAGTAATAAGAAAGACTCTAGAAGCCCCACTCAGGAAGAAATATGATACCTTATACAAAAAATACGGTAAGGAAACTAGGTGTTTAAATAACAAGCTGTGTGTTCTTTAAACTAGGTGTTTAAATAAAAGCCAGTAACAGACTGAATACTGGATTACCATTTCAACTCCAGTAGATGACTTCAGAATAACAAAGCAGTAGCATTACTACAATAATCAGTTAAATTCCCTGAATCGCTTCAGACTCAAAACAGTTCACTGGACTAAGAGGGAAGGCCTTGTCCCTCTCCTGCAAATGCCTCCCAAGCAGCAGCCTAAGCAATCCACTGAGCATATCACTCTGGGTGTGCAGGATACATAACAGCAGCTGCTCTTTGGTAGAAGAAGAGAATTTTTATTATGAAGTGTCAAAGCCACATTTGAACATGGGATTTACAGTTATGTGGATAAAGGCTCTCTGAAAAAATTACATCTCTTGAAGTAAGTAGGGCCTAGGAACCTGGTAATTTGTTAATTACATTATTAACCTTACAGCAATATGATTCAAGAGTGCTCTTTTTAAAGCCATACCTTATATCTGACTAATGCTTTTGATCCCCCTTAGTTCATTATTCTGTGTTAGTGTAAATGGAGCTTCGCTTCATCATACATATAACCCTCCAACTTACACTTGAACAATTTAACAGTGAAGTAATTCTATTGTTCTGTCAACATTTCATATCGGTATGGCAATAGAGGAGCATGTTAAGTCAGTCTGGTTTCCCAGACCAGATGAACACACTGCTGTGTGAACAGAAACCCAAAACCACACTTTGATGAGCAGCCTTTAGCCAGTGTCCCTGAGAGACGCAGTACATTCCCATCTCTAATCAAGTACTCACACACCATATCTATAAGAGAGTTGTTTTCACAGTTTAACAAGGATAAACACAATAAACAGGAGCAGAGTCTGAAAGATTTAAAACTCTGCCCTGGAAATGCGATCTGCTCCCATCAAAGTGGTATTTACATGGCTGGAAACAGCCACCACTTTAACGAAGTTGCACACAAAGCTGTTCTACTCTTCACTGAAAATTCAAGCCTTCTATGAACCCATTTTTTACTTCACTTTTTAATGAAGTAGAGAAGACTCAACCACAATTCCAGGAATTCATCCGTCTGAGTCAGGGATAGTTTCACATATTTAAGAAGTGTATAAAAGTCAAATTGATGATTTGGCAGAAGAAATTGGAAACCTAAAAAAAAAAAGAATGTGACTACGGAAAATATTTAAGAATTATAAATCAAATGGTGAAGTGAAGGAACAGAACAAATGAATGAAGAATGGATTTACAGAGCAGACAATACTGACTTGCTATAAGTATGAAATGGAAGAACCCGAAACCGTACTCTATGAGGTGAAAAATGGGATGTGGAACTGTTGGAAGAATGAGGAAGAGTTGGGAGAATGACAAAAAGGCCTAAGGGAATACAATCTAAAGTGATAGAAATAGTCAAAATGTAGAACAGGCACGTAAGAACAGTGGAGGTGGTTGCTCATGCAGCAAAAATGCAAAAACACACCAGTACCAACATTCTTAAAATACTCATATTCCCTGTGGTCAAGACTTGGGTCAAATACTGCATTGCCTAGAGCAGGGAAGGCGTCCCCAAGCTTGGGGAAGACCAACATGAACTCCACCCTAGCCTAACTCTTCACAATGTACTTTAGGTTGACACAGGGAAGGGGAAAAAAGCAAATTTTTATTACCATATGACAACAAACATTGTTGAGAAGCAAATGAGACACGTTGATAGCTTTATTTGCATACAGCAAGATACTCGGCAGACTCACGAAACAACAATCTGCCAATTCTTTGTGAAATCTTCCCTATTTTATTGTATTTTCTTTTTGCATGCACTCTTGACAATTCAACCTCCTTAACATCTGAACCCTTTGCCTGCTCAGAGCAAATGGCTTCTGTGACTCAAACAATGTACAGTAATGCCAGAGACAAAGGTACTAATTTTACTCTTAGAAATTCATAACTCTTAGAAATGAGCTTTCATAATTTGAAGATGTCTAAATTTGCATTCTGGGGATGAAGATTAAAAAAAAAAAAAAAGTAAAGCCTTCTAGAGAGACCAAGTGAGAAACTGCTTTAGAAAGCACAAGTTTTCCAATACACTTACCGTCCGAAAAACTTCACAATTGGGGTAACAATAATGGCACCCACAAGGCCACCAATGGCAAAAATAGAAACAGTTATGGACCAGAGGAGAGTCAAGGTGCTTTCGTCCACCGAGAAACCGTATCTTCTTTCCCAAGTTTCATTGTAAAACTTCTTGATATACTGAAAGAAAATGCAGCATAATTATACATGTAAAAATCACACTTTAAGAACACGACCGAGAGAAACAGAATAAAAGACCCAGTAGCTTGTTCGTAGAAATCACTCTTGCTCTTCTATCTCCCTCCTTCAAAAAATGGAGCTTCACTTCTGGAACAGACTAGAACAGCCAAAGCATACATACATTTAACTATATGCAAGTCATAAACAAGGTGGGGAAAGAAACACAGGTAGACATTAATGTAGCAGAGGCTTATAAAAGAGAAATTCCTATAAAGCAAGGATGTTACCACTTAGGTCATCAATACAACATTAACAACAGTTTGTTTTAGCCTCACTATGTACACATATAGAAACATTTCAGCCCAAACTGGGGCTAAGGGCTCAGACACAGAATCACACAATGGCTGAGGCTGGAAGGAACATGTGGAGGTCCTTGTCCAACCCCCCCTGCTTAAGCAGGGCCAAGCAGAGCCAGTTGCCCAGGACCGTGCCTGGAGGTTTTTGAATATCTCTAAGGAGGGAGATTCCACAAAATCATGCCACCCACACTTGACGAGGTACTACATGCCAGCTGAGCTCCGCTAACTGCTCATGTACGTGCTCACCTCAGGCAGGTGATGTACCACATCCTAGCATAACAGTCTTTTGGACAAGGCAAGGGAAACTGCACTGCCTAGCATTTTCCATGACTTTCAAAAAAAGAACATGCACAAATGCTTAAATGCTAACTACCATTACCCAACGATCATCGACCAGTTTTATGTTAAGAAGAAATAGTTTTACTGCTTTTTCATGGATCTATAGTGCCAAAAACTTGGAGTAGCAGGTAGAGGCAAAAATGTCTTGAAGTTTAAGTTGGTGAATTGGCAGAAATGCAAGGCAACAAAGAGGAAGGGAGCTGCGACCAACTCCTGCCAGATCCAACACAACTAACATCAAGAGAAGAGTTTGGCTTGCCGTACAGGACACAGCACCAAAAGCCATATGTTGATAGGTTTGGGGTTATGTAGGGGAGTTCACATGTAACTTAGGAAATTCCCTGATACATTTTTAAAGATGCTTAAAAAAGTTATAGAAATAGGAATCCTTTGGGCAAAACCCTATACTGTGCTCACCATGAAACAACATTTACCATCTCCATTTTACATTTCAGTTCTAGAATGCATATCTCAGATTTGGTCAAAATTAAGTGTCTTTCACTAGTTTATTTCTTCCAAAGGGCCAGTATTGTAAAACTGAGCAATTCTACAAATTCTTTATCATAACACTAGAAAAAAAAAGGCAATTGAAAACAACTATCATTCATGGACTGAGGGAAGAAGTCATTGTACTTATGACACTGCTGCATCTGGCAGCCATACAAAACTAAGGACCTACTAAGCCGAGCAACAAAAGATAACATTTTTCTCCCAAAGAATTTACAGCCAAGACAACTGTTAGAGAAGGGAGGCAAGAGGTGACAACTGTTGATTAGATACTGACGGGGGGAAAATAAGCCCACTACATTGGTCAAAAAGAGCTAGTCATCTGATACCATTGAAATTATTAACCCCAAATCACTTTTATAAGTACATTATAGCTTCTCCCCTTCAAATCTACATAAGCTGCTTTTTGAATGAAGTTCAGGCTGCTAAACAAGGTAAGCAATTTCTTTTCAGTAACGAAGATGTACCAAACATGAAATCAGACACCTAAGATCCTGATACAAATCTATCTACCAGACAAGCTGCTTCTCTTAAGAAAAGAAAACCTGAAACCTATGTTCTAACTCTTCAGCCATCCCAAGACCTACCTTTTTCTCCCATGGCAGTTTAATTTCCTTAACAGCCTTCTAATGAAGGCCCTTCCAGAATATCTTTTGCAAGTTCAAGTGCCCCTTCAACCTCTGGAGAACTCCAATGGATGCCTGAGTTCTCCTTTGCAAAAGCTATGCCAGCTCTTCCTCAAACTCTCACTTTTCTACTACAGTTTCCGCTAGTTTGTCAGGAACAAATAACTAATTCTTAGCATATATTTTACAAGCTTTCCCCAAAAAACCTACTGTTTTCTTAAAGTCACGTTAAACCCCCCAAACTCTCTGTTACTGAGGCTATTTAGAAAGAAGCTGAACTGTGATATGAAGCCTATATTTAGAGATATTTTTTTCAGTCTTGAACAAATGTGAATGTATTTTGGCAACCTAACAGAAAATTATCACTAATTTTATTTCATATCTCTACTGATATTTCAGCTTCTCCAATACATCTCTTATAAAGGAGGTTCCAGCATGGGACCTCCCCAGACTTTTCCAATCCGAACTATAAATTCAGGTTTCTTGTTCTGTCCTTGTATTTTCTGAACACACTTTTTCAGCTTCATCTTTTGGCCTTATATCCCCAAGCCCTCTGTCTGGATGTTTTTTTGTGCCCACCATACCAGACTCCAGGATCAGCTCACCTTTTTAGCCTTCAGTGTGTCAGAGTGTATATTCTCTTTCTGCTTTCCTCACATAAGCACAACTGCAGGTTTTTGAAGGATGCTTCAAACAGCTTCCCTTCCCTGATGTTTAATTACATCAAAGTTTCTTCATCCTTCTAAAATTCAATGATGTCATAGCTCCAGTATGACATTTTTATGTAGTCTCTGTATTGCCTGCAGAGATATCACCTATTTACTTTCTTTTTGGTCAAGCTACTCCCGTTTCAAAACTGAGCAAAGATCCAATGCCACTGTGGTGTCTGGTGCTCTGGCAAGGATACGGTACCAGGCAGTCACTACTGCAGAAGGGCACGGCATGCTTGTGCAACGCTCTCACTCGTTCTGTGCCACCACCACCCCCTCGACAAGCTCTACAGTATCACAACGTTTCATCTTGGCACTTTTCCCCAGTTTGTTCTCAGATTTCCTCCACCATGTCATAGGTACTAAATTATCCTGGGGCAGCACTCAGCAGGATAAGCCTAACACCAATTCTTTCCTGTTCAAACTGGGAATTTCAAGCTTCAGGTATTCCAGCCTTGGACACATGGACCATTCGATTTGAGGACTTCATTTAGTTTGAAACACTACCTCTCCAAGTGCAAAGTACCTAAGAAAGGTGGAGACAGAACATGCCACTTAAAGTCTTCCTTCTATCAAGTTTCTAGTAGGCCTTTTGTGCCCTGAATTAAAAGGACAGGGATATTTCTCTCATCCTATCTTACATGTTACTATACAAAGAGACAGGGGGAAAAAAAAAAAAAACCACAAAAAAGAAAAAAGGCAATTTGTCACTTTGTCCATTTAGGAGAATCTCACAGTAAACTTCCAAATGAATCTGCCATTAAATCAAGTAACACATCTTATCTCTTTAACACCAATACTCAGATTATATTTAGATTCAGATATCTCCTTGTTTATTTGAAGTTAATTTCTGATAGTAATGAATACTAAGAGAAAACATTTTTAGAACACTATTAGCATTTCTTGCTAACGATAACGGCTAAAAATAGTATGCAAATTATCTTCCCCTTGTGTTATGACTGATTTTCTTAGCATAGCTTTGTTATTTACAAGGAGACATAAAATAACTGCAAATATTCAAGAAAAGAAAGTACAAACTACAACACTCAATAGTAACAGATAAATGTGCTGGCATGTACATCACCCATGTGTGGATTCCCCTTGACAATAAATGGGATGCTAATAGCACCTACAGGTTTTGAGGAGTTGCACACGAAAATGAAAAATGAAAGAATGAAACAAATCTGATCCAACAAATCCACTGGATTTGAATCCAGTGAATTACGTGGAAAGGTTCCTTTGGGATTTTAATCAGTTGTCTGAACAACAATAACGGCACAAACCTGTATAGAAAAATTTTAGTCCCTAAACAAAGCCGACAAGGAATGGCAGCTGACTGATACCAGTATCTTGTATTCTGCTGCCTCAGCCCATTAAGGTAGTAGTGTTAGGGTGGTAAATATAAGGGATACATATTTTTTTATATATATAAATACAAGGAATATATTTTAAATATGAGAGAAATATTTTCCTCGTCTCTTTAACTGTAAATAACTTATATTAAGGGAAGAGATGAGCTAGTCTTCAGAGAAGAAAAATGACGTTACCCATAGTTACAAGGGTCACACACACAGTGACAACTACTGAACTGGCTGACACAGCAGGCTATACATTTTTGCAACAGTCTCACTATCCCCGAATCAGCTCTAAAAGGAATGCAGAGCTGCAGCTGCCCACAGGAAGGGGCCAAGAGCTGCACAGCAGTAAGTAGCAGAGGCTTTGCTTCCCGTACAGAGCACAAAGCACATCATTGTTCTGTAGACCTTGCCCACAACCAGTCCATGGAATGAATTGTAGAATTCATCTGAGAAAAAGACAGCTTCAACTTGTATTCCATTAAAGCATTTGTGTTCTCACTGCCAAATGGTCCTATATGTTTTTAATAAATTCTGGTAACTCTTTGAACAAGCCCACAGAGACTTCTAATTCTGGGTTTCTCACGTGGTCAAGCGCTCCGTGCAGTGGGAAGGCACACCTGCAATGGGCCACTGCTCTTTCCCACAGAAAGGCAGGGGACCGAGTAGGAACCAATCTCTGCTCTGAGCAGAGCTGGTGCAGTTTACTTTCCCCTTGCAACAAAAGGGAAGTTGGACTGACTCGACCTTATAAGATGACCTGCAGGACAGTTCATTGGTGAGAACTGCAGGGGTATTCCCCTGTGGTTTGAAGAGCTGGCACAACTTTCAGCACTGAAAGGAAAGGCACACAGGAATTTACAAACAGTTCTTTGATGCTTCAGTCTTAAATTAACTTTGCCCCCCGCCGCCGAGCTCAGTCATCGTGCTCATGTGTTCAGATCCTGGAAACATCCCATGTTCTAGCCAGCAGTCATTATCCAGCATTTTTTCAATGCCTCACAAAGCATCATGCAGTCCTTCTCTAAGGTTGCAAGACTTTAGACATCAAAAGGAATTGTAGTGAAATAAACAGGGACAGAAGATGCCCAACAACCTACACAGAGATGCTCACACAATGCAGGCTGTAAGCTGCACATCACCAGAACAAGTTATTTGTCCTACCAAGTTTATAAATGAAACTCAGACTACAGCTTTTCAGAATTACTGCACTCCCCATATAACCTCTGACACTCTTACTAGAGTCCTGTTTATCTACAGCTAAAAGCTGCTCCCCTTTGGTTTTTCTCAGTCACCTCACATCAGTATTCCCAAAAGGTCACCTTGAAGCAGACCAATTTGGTGACATTCAGGGGAAAACAGACGGGGCAAAGGTTCCTTTTCTTGTGCTGCAAGAAGCACAGCTGTGGTACAGCTTGCTCCTCCACACCACGGCTACAAACAGCGCCTGGACTCTTCCCTGCAACCTGATCACTGCAGCTCCAAGAACAGGAAGGTGGCCTGTCCTAGGTAAACAGATGACACAGATTAACCCTGGGGCTAGAGAGAGGACCAGAAGCCACACTGGTATTTTGTTCTTGAACTACACAGCTATGTATTCCTTGTAAGTAGGGCTACTCCTTAGCCCTAGATAATGAATAAGAATGACATGAAGTTCTCAAACTCTGAAACACCATGCTGCAAAAAGGGAGACTTTGTCATACCTGTCAACAGCATGACCAAAACCACCATCAGCATGGTGCTCAGTTTCAGTCCAAAAGCAACAGTAAAGGTTTCAAGCAAAAATGGACAATCGTGGAAGTGTTACTAACCATGATGCACGGAATTTAGCACTCGTCACGGTACAGCTGCACCTTCAGCCTCACCCACACTCTGGTCATCACTATAATCTATCACACGGTTCAAACCTAAGTGTCTGAGTGTTGCCAAACAGCACGTCCTATCATCCTTTCTTTCTTTTACTCCTGCAGAAAGCACCAGGAGCACTCTGATTACCAGGACAGCCCATTTTTTAAATGGCACTTAAAAGTTTACAGATCAGATCATTCTCAGTGCTCCGCTGACAGTACTGAGGCAGTGCAGGAAGGATGTTTACCTTCAGGACAATCAATGTTATTGCTCACAGAATTTCAGCTTCCT